GGACATGGGCTTCAAATGTCATATTCCTCTTGTCAAGCCGCTCCTGAACAACAAACAATGTCAGAAGCATCTTACCTGGGCTAAAGAAAAACAGACCTGGTCTGTTGCTCAGTAGTCCAAAGTCCTCTTTTCTGATGAGAGCAACTTTTGCATGTAAGAAGTATGGAGGAAGAATGGAGAGGCACACTCTGCAAGATGCTTGAAGTCCAGTGTGAAGTTTCCACAGTCTATGTTGATTTGGGGAGCCATGTCATCTGCTGGTGTTGGTCCACTGTGCTTCATTAAGTCCAGGGTCAACGCAGCCGTCTACCAGGAGATTTTGGAGCACTTCATACTTCCTTCCGCAGACAAACTTTATGGGGATGCTGACTTCATTTTTCAGCAGGACTTGGCACCTGCCCACACTGCCAAAAGCACCAAAACCTGGTTCAATGACCGTGGGATTACTGTGCTTGATTGGCCAGCAAACTCCCCTGACCTGAACCCCATAGAGATACTATAGGGCATTGCCAAGAGAAAGATGAGAGACATGAGACTGAACAATGCAGAAGAGCTGAAGGCCTGGTCTTCCATAACACCTCAGCAGTGCCACAGACACGCGTTGAGGCAGTAATTGCTGCAAAAGGGACCCAAACCAAGCACTGAGTACATATGCATGCTTATACTTTCAGAGGTCCGATATTGTTCTATGTACAATCCATGTAATATTCTAATTTTCTGAGATTGTGGATTTGGGGTTTTCATGAGCTGTAAGCCATAATCATCACAATGATGACAGGTCACAACTTGAACTATCTTGCTTTGCATGTAATGAGTCTATCTCATATATTAGTTTCACCTTTTAAGTTGAATTACTGAAATAAATGAACTTTTGCACAATATTCTAATTTTTCGAGTTTCACCTGTATGTGGTGTGGATTGAAGCTCAGGTTTCACAGCTAATTGATATAGTAGTTGTTCACAGGTTTATGTCAGGTTTACATCAGGTTCAGGATAGGATTAGATCAGGTTCAGGTCAGGATTTTATCCTGTTCGCAACTGATGACGTGCAGTTTAGAAATGGTTCCCATAGAAGTCAATGACCTGTAACCTGCACCGTTGTTTCACGTCATGCAGATTGGACCACATACTGTATATGTGAACCAGCACTAAATGTTTTTTTGTTTCATATTATGAAAAGCCAGTTACAGCTCTGCTTGACTTAGGTAGTGTTGTAACTTAGTGAAAGCTGATTTAATCAGTCCCTTTTAAGTACAAGGCTTAGTGCTGGTTTACATACATGCGGATTGGATAGCTAGACTATTCTTCCACTGTAGTACTATTAACGGGTGATTTAGTTTGTCCAAACTTGATATGTTGTTTTTGATGGTGTATAAAATCACTCTTCATCTACTTATGTCTCTTGAAAGCTCTAAGAAAGAGATCTAAAGTTCTTACCTAATGCAGCCAGTATTGTTGTTTTTTTCATTGATTTTGCATAATGGAGAATACAGACATATAGGTGATATTCCAGGAAAAATCTAAGGACTACCACTGTTGGAGTGCACGAGAGAAATAATTGAAGACTCATGCCAAAAGCCATTAATGTCCTTTTTCTGGAGAAGTAATGTTCTGTTTTCTCAAATGTAAATGCAACTCTCTGCTACTTCATTTTTTTGTGCTGAGAAATCAGATAATTGTATACACTTAGTTGAAATCACCTAGAGAATTTGCTGACTTTCCTAGAGAAGCTTTATTCCTTTTACTGTAAATCTGATTATAGAAAAACAATTATGAATGGAACTTTTTAATGTATAAAAAGAGGGGTGTTCAGAAGAACCTTACAATTAAGTATTTATATTTATCCTATGTTTTGTGCAGGTGCCTTTTATGGTTTGCTGTGCATAGCAATGTCAGTGGTTGCTTCATTTATGGGAAGTGTGATTCAGGTAAAATAATTTTTATCAATTGTTAATGACAATTAATTGTCAATCAATTTATTCAATTGTTTATGACTTATTTACATGATATGTGCTATGCAAATGCATTTAAAATACTAGTTCTTACTGTATGCATTACCTTTCTGCAGATATCAATATGATGTGCTATTTACTATATAACTTACGTTTAGTGAAAATAGCTGCCACCGTCCTAACAATACAAGATATAGCAGAGGTGGTGAGAATACCATATACTGCATAGATAGATAAAACTTTGCTGGTCATAGGTGACCTAGATTTTTATCCAGTTGAGTGTAAGGTAGTAGATTTAGCCTTCTCCCTTTGAGTATTACAATGGTATAGCTATATTGCCCCACAAACATTTCAGAAAACACCTGCTGACGTGTGTAGTTTCACCTGGAGATGAGCTTTCAGCAGATGTTCTCATGCTGAACTTTAAATAAAATCCTATTTTTTATTTTAGTTTTCTTTTACTCTTTTCTTCATTATTGTGTTTATTTAGGGACATTACACTACTTTATCTTAACCACTTGCCCTCCAGAGGATTTACCCCCCTTCCAGACCAGGCCATTTTTTGCGTTACTGTTCTGCGTACTTTAACTGACATTTGTGCGGTCATGCAATGCTGCACCCAAATGAAATTTACATCCTTTTTTTCCATGAATAGCGCTTTCTTTCAGTGGTATTTGATCGCCTATGCGCTTTTTATTTTTTGCGCTATAAAGAAAAAAAGACTGCCAATTTTGAGAAAAAAAAACTATATTTTTCACTTTTTGCTATTAAATATGTCCAGTAAAAAAATTATAAATGAATTTCATCATAAATTTTAGGCCAAAATATATAGCAGAACAAGTCTTTGCTAAAAAAAATCCCAATACGATTATATCAACTGGTTTACATGAAAGTTATAGTGTTTACAAATGACAGTATATACTGGGACTTTTTTTAAAATTTTTATTTTTACTAGTAATGGTGTCAATCAGCGACTTATAGCGGGACTGTGTTCTGACACTGGGGGGGAACTGACTTGGTGTCACTGACATCCCCAGTGACACCAATACAGTGATCAGTGATAATAAAAAGCACTGACACTGTACTAATGACACTGGGCAGGAAGGGGTTAACATTATTATACAATATTTATATAGCGCCAACAGTTTGCTCAGCGCTGCACATTATAATGGGAGACAGTACATGAGACAGTACAGTAACAATACAGTGCAATACACGAGGGGTTCGAGGGCCCTGTTCCTTGGAGCTTACAATCTAGGGCTATCATAGGGTTAACAGTGCCCTGCGTGCTGTTTTACTAGGGGCTGTGTCTGTGTGCTTTACTGCAGGCACACTGCTTTGCATGGCTCTGCTGTGCACAGCCATGCAAAGCAGCGTGCAGGAACTGACAGGGGAGAGAACTGTTTTGTTTACAAACAGTTCTCCTCGTTGGAGATGCTTGGCGCCGGCGAGTAGCAGCGGCCAGCGATTGACAGCTGCGGCCATGAATAGCGGTGAGGGTAGGTTGCGTGCGTGCCTCGCATGCGCCCCCTACCCGGAAATGCAAAATCACGTATATATATACGTGATTTTGCTCACCCTTACCACCCTGTAGCAGTGCTTCTGCTATAGGACGGACGGGAAGAGGTTAAGGTGTATATAAACATAAAATCTATTTTTCAATGTGATAATGCCTATACAAATTTTGTTAATCAGCTCTGCAGGGTCCTTATAAAATTGTGAATTTATTTTTTTTTTTCAAAAGGTATACTTAACCTTTAAAAATTGCCAAAATTGCTATTGACTGGGGTGATGAGTCTAAATTGTTATTTTGATTTTTACATTTAGGCAGCTTTATCTATATTTGCCATGATTGGAGGTCCACTTCTTGGACTTTTTTCCCTTGGAATGTTTTTCCCTTACTGCAATTCCTTGGTGAGTACGATCTCTCATTATTAACACTAAATCTATAGGAGCTTGTGCATGCAGCCAGGGGCAGCCGGGATCAATAAGGGGCCCCATGAGATGCCCCTGGTACCTTTCATAGGCTTTTTTGGGTGTGGTTTGAGTGTGGGCGAGGACACAGGGGCCCCATGATCCCCTATTGCCTGGGGGTCCCATGAGTTGTCAGTCCGCCCCTGCATGCAGCATTTGATCTTGTCAGAGCTGCTTGGAGGAGTTTAGGAGGAAGTCAGGAACACCTATGAAGGAATTTAACACCAAAAAGCATCTCGAACACATCTAAAATGCAAGAAGAATGCACCTAACAGCACACTCCACTTGCCCCTCTACAAAAACCCCACAAGAGTGTTATGCACAGCCAATTCTAGCCAAGTTATGCTTCAACAGGAGCCTTCTACATTCTACCTAGGGGAAAATATTGACTGTATCTAACCTTTGGACATTTTGTTTTGCAATTAATGGAATTAATTAAGACTACATCAAACACCATATATTTGTGGACCTATAATAAAAAATAATAGGATACGATAGGAGTGCTTTTGTAGCACGACTGATTTCATATATTAGATAAAACAAATAACATTGAGATTTAAGGCAAATTTATAACAATTAAAAGGTCAAACCATAGATCAATGTAGATCTATAAAATATAAACGTGTTTGGGGCACTAAAAGATTACAGAAATGATCTTTCACTGATTTGACAAGAGCCTGGTTATTTTATTATAGATATAAGAAGTTTTTTCTTTGAACTGCTGAATTTAAACCACCCATATTTAAAACACTATAGCATTTATACCAAATATGATGGGGGGATCATTCACCTATAGACATGGCAGTGTTGTGCCTTAAACACGACCAGGGGCGGACTAACCATTCGAGCACACGGGCACTGCCGGGGGCCCGGGGTCAGTAGGGGGCCCCATGAGATGCCCCTGGTACCTGTTTATAGGCTTTTTTGGGTGTGTTTTGAGTGTGGGCAAGGACACAGGGGCCCCATGATCCCCAATTGTCCGGGGGCCCCATGAGTTGTCAGTCTGCCCCTGAACACGACACAACTGATACACCAGTGGAGGCAGTCCAACTGACCTTTTATTATGCCACTCACAAAAGATGAAGTTGCTCCTTAGACCTCTATCCTCAACATCAGCTCTTAGGTGCTCACTCCTCTGGGATCCATTCCTCCTACACACAATTTTGTAAAGCTCTGGTGGTGATGCCTGGTAAAGCTCTGGTGGTGAAGGAATTGCTCCATGTGTTTAGTTTGCCAAGGGGAACTCACTGGAGTAGTACCCAGAAGATCCTGGCTATCACTGTATGTAGTGTGGACTACTACAGTGATTATCAGCATATTTAGCAGCCCTGTGGATATCAAATATGGATAGTTCCATCAAGCCAAGCTGTACCAATGTAACTTTGCAAAAATATAATTTCTGGAGATCCATTTTAAGCATGCTCTATAATTAAGCCCCAGTAGGGGGCAAAAATTGCTAGAGGCAGGATCCTGGGTGAAGCAACTGTGTTTGTGCTTGTAGCACCCCTCTAGATAGCCAGAGTGAGCTAGAGTTCAATTTATAGTCATGAGGGCTGGGTAGCAGCCTGGGTGTAATAGTTAGTACGGTCAAATTTCAGTCAGAACTGAGATGTTCTTCAGGTCAGTTCACTAATACCTTCCCCTGTTGTAGAATCCTGTAGAAGATTCTAGAAGCAGTGGGAGGGGCTGGCCTGTACACTAGGGGACTCTGGCCAATTCCCAAGCAGGAGGCTTGGCATGGGGCCAGGGCAGTCCTTAAATGTCGGAGAGCATTCTCATCAGCAGGAGAGTTCGGGTGGAAGATGGAATGAGAAGGCTGAGGTGCAGGAGCCTGCGAGGAGGCCCAGCTGGGAAGGAGCTCATCTCCAGACAGTGGCACTGGAAAGGAAGGAAAGCTCAGGGCCTCACTGGTCCCCAGAGTGAGGACCACATGTGTAGCAGGGAAGGAACGGCCCAGCAGAAGGCCTGAAAAAAGCAACCGACCCACCAGCTCATAGGCAGAGGACTGAGTGAGTAGACCTACACCCCCTGGGCCAGTTAGGGGGAAAGAGGCTCTCTAGTGGGAAACTGGATTACTCTTTCTTGCCCCGGGACTGTTTCATACTGAAGTAGCAGGCACTGGATCCCCTGCCCAGGGATTTCTTCAGACATCTGGATAGAGGATGATTATCCTGGGTCTGGGGTGGTACACCAGAAGAGGCTGGCTAGCTCTCCAAGAAAAGGATTTTTGTCTGAAAGGACTTGTACATAGTTCCAGGAAACTGTCCTCAGCTGCAGTTCCCTTGGGCATCCCATCCACGCCCCTTACTCCGTCCAAGTTCTAAACCCCTTAACAAAATCATAAAACCAAGCTCAAGGACTAGTTACTGTCTCCTGGATGCAAGTCTGTGAGGAATGCGTTTTTCCAGGACTATAGGTGGACCCAAATCTATAGAGACTCTTAAGGTGGTAGTGCTACATGCTGAACAATAATTCTAATGGTACCCTTTGGAAGTGATGTGTGGTTCAAAAGCTTTGCGTAGTGAATTTTCAAACTCAGAGTGGGGTAAGTACTGATTGCAGGTTTATTGTCTTTTGTTGAAGGCTGTAGGAAGTACCCTACAAAAAAACCTAAGAATACCTAAACATAAGTAAACTTGAGGCTATCCTTGGCAGTAAATGAATGCATCAAGTCAATATGTTTACGCAGAACAAAAACACTGACCTAATTCAACAATCTATATTGCTCTGCAGGGTGCAGTGGTGGGGTTGCTTTCTGGGTTTTCTGTGTCTCTGTGGGTTGGGATTGGATCCCAAATCTATCCTCCACTGCCTGAAAGAAGCAGACCGCTTCCACTTTCAACTGAAGGATGTGGTTTTATCTTGGACGATGCAAACTGGACCTCAACTACAACATCTCCGGTGACTATGTCCACAGTATTGCAACCTAATGGCAGTGCAAGGTCAGTGAACTTCGTATGTTTCTGCGTATTTACTCATCCTTCTAATTAAGTTATTACAAAATATATATACATACATTTCATATACAGGCCAAAATCTAAGTCTAACATTTATTTTGTATAGTTCTCTGTGTATATATCTTTAGATAAACAAATAAACTATAAGGGCTCCTGTACACTGCAGCTGCTAAACTGAAGTTTAGGAACAGTTGTGCGTTTTTTTTGTTTTTTTTTACCTCTTTTCAGCAGCCCTTCAACTCTCCTTTTATGTTTTTCTATGTGTACACATAGTCGTCTACAGTAGTTTATAGGCAGTTGAGGTTACAGGCATTTTTTTGAAAGCACAAAAATTGCATTCAGAAGTATAGTTTAATGAGCTAAAAAACGTAGGTTAAAAACGTCAGTTTAGCTGGGTTTACCTACTGCATTTTATGTGCGTTTAGCCATGTTTATGCACTTTTGCGTTTAGAAACATTTTTAAAAGATAACCTCAGGAGACCTTCCCAAATGCACTGAAAAAACAGTAAAAAATTAACTATTTCAGACATTTTGAGAGAAATAGAGAGAGCAGAAGCAGGTAGAGCAGTATGTGTTGAGATGACCTGTCTTTTCTGGTTGTATTCACTAGGGATCCCATCATGAGCATAATGCGGCACGTTCTACCATTTTTTCCTTCACGCGAAACCTGGAACTGACTGCGCTGGTGTACTAGGTCCATTTGAGTACCTGAAAAACGCTTTGCATGCATTTCTGATGATGAAAAAAGGCTTTGGACAGCATCTGGACATGGAACAGTTAAAAAACGCTTCTAAACGCAACCTCTTATAAACGCGGTTAACCACGTTTACACATGTTTACAAGCGTTTGGCATTTGAAACGCTGGTAAAATCTACTCCTGAATGCAAGTTTGGTGCATTCAAAAATCGACTGTAAACTCAACTGCCTATAAACGACTGTAAACGATGATGTGTACATGGACACATAGGAAAACATTAGGGAGAGTTTAGGGGCTGCTGGAAAAAAAAAAAGCAGAAAAGCTCCTAAACGTGAGTTTATCAGCTGCAGTGTACATGAGCACTTACTGTCAAGTTGACTTGAAAGTGGGTGACCTGCTGACATCACTGCAGAAAATAGTCTTCATAGACCCTGTCAGCATGCCCAGGCTACTAATGTTTCTCCAATTACTTTTTGAAACATAGGTGGTCCCCAAAAATACAGGGGGGGTGGAATTTATGAAAAATGGAGCAATCATGAACAGCTTCTATCTTTCATTTAAAAGCTTAGGCTCCTTTCACATGGGTATCAGTCTGTCTGTTGTTGTCCATCCGTTGAAAAACAGACAGCAATGCACTCCTAGGGGTAAACATATGTAAATGGATGATCATCCATTTATATCCTAACTGAACAAGCTGCAGATAGAAACTGATTGGTTGCCAAGCACAGCTGCTAGAGATTCTGTCTGCTCCAGATTTGATACATCCCTCCAATGTACTGTATATGTCTCAAGGTGAAGTATAAAAATATCAGCTAGACAACCTTTATCCATCTTATGACTTTAGTGTGCCTCCCATTACAACCCTACTACTCTACAACATGGATGGCAGACAACATTTTAAGAGTTTTTATGTTGAATATTTGAATAGAAAAAAAGGTCTACTACTTTTATGTCACATTAAGCACACTGGCTTATAAAAATGCAGATGCTCTTGGCAGAAAAAAAAACCCCTGCTAATTTTGAGCTTTTTTTGTACTAGTATTTAGGAGCATTTAGCATTTTTTTTCTGCCAGAAAACCACTCTTAAAAACATCAAGCAGATGGGTTTTTTTTCCGGCCTCCAAGCGCTGAGCTTAAAATATGCCTGTAAATGATCTAATGTGCATGGACACATAGGATAAAATTAGCTTTTTCTTCAGGCAAGGCTCCTCTAGGAAGCATTTTTTAAGCCAGTGTGCATGGACCATCAATAGTAGGAAGATAAACATACTGTATATATTGTCTTCTGGATTATAAAATGGTGTGCATAATTTATCATTTTAGTAAGCATTTGAAGATTATAGGTGTGATTTGTCCTGTGTATATCAAGTATTGATGCATCTATATCATGATCTATTTATTCAGTTCTAATAAAATATTATAGTAAAAACTGCTGGGTATAATAATGATGTATCCATTATCTTGTTTTTCTGCAGGCCACTATTGGCTGATTATTGGTACTCATTATCGTATTTGTACTTAAGTGTTCTGGGAACTATTGTGACTGTCCTAATTGGGATAATTGTAAGCCTTTTCTCTGGTACGTATTAAGTGGTAAATATTGTTAGATGTATTATTTAGCATTCATTTGTACTGTTGGGAATGTTTTGTAAGATATAATGGAACATACTTCAATTCCTGATTCAATTTCCCATGGATCTTTTTTATTTTATTGTATGTTAAACAGTTTTCAGACATTCTTTGCAATTACAATTGTAATATTTTTATACCAACACATATAAAGTTTACTATGAAAATACTCAAACGTATATTTTCGTATTGGCCCCTGTAGACTGTATGCCAATATAATTAGTTACCTTCAGGCGCATAATTAAAATTAGGACTGTGAAAGACCTGGGGCACAAGCCATCGCAAATGGTGGGTACTGCCTAATTGTGTCAACAGTGGGAGAGCCCTAAAAGGGTATGTTAAAATAAAACCTGGGTCTCCTCACTGCATACATGACACAGATACCACAATGCTTCAGTACCCACAAAATATGCTTTAACCTCTTGCCATCCATGCTATAGCAGAAATACTGCTACAGGGTGGCACAGGTGCGCGAAATCACGTATATATATACATGATTTTTCAGTTCTGGGTAGAGGGCGCATGCGCCCCAGAACATGTTATGAAAGGTGAACTTATCCTTTAACGATTTTCACATACAATTTAAGAAAAAAAAAAAGGTGCAAACAAAATATTTATAAAATGGATATTACAAAATAGACAAGAATAGTAACCGAAAATAAATGGAAATAACAAATCAAAATTCTTAAGGAGTCTCTGGTCTTTGGGTTTAGATTTTTGTTTTTGGGCTCTCAAAATAAATGCAAGGTATCTGGATGTCACAGAAATGTGGCTAAATTAAAGGTCTATCAAAGGGTCTGACATGAGAAATAGTGTTACAGCCCACAGCTGCATTGATGTCTAAGGCACCTGTAAATATGACTGGTAAACCACAAGCAAGACATACCCAAATC